CCCCCATGCCTCCCCCCAAACCCCATGCCTCCCCCCAACCCTCCCCAACACAATTACTCCATTTCATCCCCCTGAACCTCTCTTCCTCCTCACGCCTCATATCTCTAGAGGAATGCTCACATCTCTGTTAGTTCCCCCAGCTCCTCAAATTCAACTCCCCCAGTTCTCCCCCTCTCCATCTCCCCCCTCCCATCTCCCCCCTCCCATCTCCCCTCTCCCATCTCCCTTCCCCCCCAGTTGTCGCCCCTCCACACAGTATAAAAAAGGAAATGAGTCAGTCGCCACCAAAACATAAATGCTGCCATATTTACGACACGGAGTTGACACGACGCTGACACGGAACTGACACGGGGCTGACACACTGACACGTGATTGAGACAATGTCGACACGGAGTTGACATACATCAGGCCTAATTGCCAGAAGGGCGCTATTAGACACAGGAAGCATGGGGTCGTTTTGTCAAACAGCCAGAGCAAATTTCTATATTTTTTCAAATACTCTTTTTGAATTTTGTAGGTGGTTATCATGTCTCCCCCTTACTCTTCTGTTTTCCAGGGACGTGAGGGTCAGCTCCTTTAGCCTTTCCTCGTAGCTCATACCAGCTCAGTTCAGCTCTCTTGTGTGTGTGTGTGTGTGTGTGTGTGTGTGTGTTTGTGTACTCACCTAATTGTGCTTGCGGGGGTTGAGCCTTGCTCTTTGGTCCCGCCTCTCAACTGTCAATCAACTGGTGTACAGATTTTTGAGCCTTTGGGCTCTATCATACCTACATTTGAAACTGTGTATGAAGTCAGCCTGACACCTGACTCACTCCCTAGTGCATTCCATTTATTAGGTACTCTGACACTGAAAAGAAACTTTCTATGTGTGTGTGTGTGTGTGTGTGTGTGTGTGAACCTGTGTGTGTGTGTGTGTGAGTGTGTGTGTGTATCCACCAGTGTGTGTGGCCCAATGTGCGTGTGAGTGTGAACTCGTCTAACTTGTGCTAGCCAGGTTGAGTCTGGTGACATTCCGCCGTGGAGATAATCAGTCGTTCTGCTGATTGTAATTCAATTAATATTCTGGTCGTTGCTTCTAAATTGATGACGTTCATGAGAGCAGCATTGATGGTCACTCTGGAGGAGGTGCTCTCCCTCCCCTCTCTCTCTCGACTCCCTTCTCCTCACCCCCATCTATCCTTCCCTCACCTCTCATTAGTCTATCTTTCTCTCCCTTCTCTTCTATTCGCATTTCCTTTTTGAGATGGAATCACAAGATTGAAATTACCTTCAGCTCCTCTGAGCATTGTTTCCCCACTTCCCTATCACCATCATCACTTCATATATACACCAGAAAAATACAGAAATATTGATAAAATTGATTACATTAATAATAAAGCTGTCAGCACTATTATTGCTGTAAATAATAACACATTGCTAACCAAATTACCATCAACAATGATTACATCATGTATTAGTCGCTGATATATGAGTTAACTTTAATGCCTCGTTTACAGTTAACATATTAATATTAGATTAGCATCTATAGAGCAAAGTTAACAATGATTCACAAGTTCCTTCACATTTCATCGGCTTTCTTCAGCTGGTCTACGTCAGTCTTCATTATACTGAGTACGGGCCCGTGGGGTCACTGACCCCCGGGGCACGTGGGGTCACTGACCCCCGGGGCACGTGTGGCATGACCCCGTGGGCGTGGGGTGGCTGACCCCCGACCGTGGGTCACTGACCTGCGGACACGTACGGCCGACCAGACCGTGGGTGTGGCCGACCAGACCGTGGGCGTGGCTGACCAGACCGTGGGCGTGGGTGTGGCTGACCAGACCGTGGGTGTGGCCGACCAGACCGTGGGCGTGGCTGACCAGACCGTGGGCGTGGGTGTGGCTGACCAGACCGTGGGCGTGGCTGACCAGACCGTGGGCGTGGGTGTGGCTGACCAGACCGTGGGCGTGGCTGACCAGACCGTGGGTGTGGCTGACCAGACCGTGGGCGTGGCTGACCAGACCGTGGGCGTGGCTGACCAGACCGTGGGCGTGGGCGTGGCTGACCAGACCGTGGGCGGAATATCTCTATCTCAGAGATATAAAACTATTTTATTCCAGCGTGACGCTGACTCAAGCTAATATACACGAGGTCAGACGAACAGATCAAACGCGCAGATTTCTCTGAACTGCACTAATAATAATGAGAGTAGAGAGGGAGTTGAAAGAGGCATTGATATTTACTCAGTAATTACACGTTTTTACTTCCAATAATCACTAGAGAATATAAATAAAGTTGTTGTCAAGGGCCTATGTTACCTTCCCTCCAGCGGCATTCTTCCTCGGTCAAGAACTCCATTTATACTTGACTGGAATCCTACAATATCGGCGTTGGTGAAATATTTTTATTTAAATAATATTACGCGGAAAATCGGGTGATCTGATGACGTAATGGGGATCTGATACAGCGAGTCCACACAGCTGTAATCCCTGGAAGTTCAAAATACTGATCCCATTTCTACACACAGAGATCACATTAACGTGATGCATCAAATGAACAAATGCACAAGGGCCGTGACGAGGATTCGAACTTGCGTCCGGGAGCATCCCAGACACTGCCTTTGCATCCTTTTTAACCCTGTCGTAGCTCAGTCGATTAAGGCAGTGTTTGGGATGCTCCCAGACGCAGGATCGAATCCTCGTCACGGCCCTTGTGGATTTGTTCAACTCATCCCATTTCCTGAATGAAGAACTGTGGGCATGTTGGATACTATTTGCCGCTCAGGTATTTGGGTAGAGAATAAATATTTAGAATGAGCGGATTATCCCATTATGGTTTACATTAGTTTGCAGCGAACCAAATGCTCAGCGCTCCGTGACCCGGCATGTAAACAGAGCCACGTGGTTCTTGTTTACTACACACACTTTGTTTACGTTAAGAAAGGTTTCATTCACAAGTGCGAGAGTGACGATTTTCTGAACACAGTGACAACATTAGAATTCCTTATCTGATGTTGGCCAATAACTGGACGGGTGATTGCACGGACAGCTACGCTCTTTCCTACGGTGCCTTCCTGCCCTTCAAATGGCATAACTGCCCTGATAGTCACCATCCTCTTCCCAAGTTACTGGCAAGAACCATATATTCTGAGCCAGGAAAAAAGTAACTCGCACATTATCTACCAAAAGGCAATCCATTGAAATTTTGAGTCACCCATAGAATTTCGTTTTCTCTTTCCGTGTGAGGACGAAGTAGAGCTGCAGGGGACACTGTGGTATATTGCGGCGGCCATCTCTAACTCTGCTTCGACACGATTAAGTGCCCAGGATATTTAACCCCTATCCGGAAAAGGATTTACTAATAAATAAAATAAAATATTGGACATACTTGGTTTTCTCTAAAGTATTTGTTGGCGGTCATGGAATTATAATTTATGACATTAGTTTAGTTTAAAATCCAGCTGAAAAAAATCCTCACTAGGGGGAGGAGGTTTAACAAGCCGCCAGCTTCATGTCCCCACCGAGGCCTTTTAAAGACGACGGCCGCCGGGTAAACAGGGTTTGGTGTTGGCCGTAAGGCCTATCAACCTCTGGAGGGTTATTCATAAGTCCATTACAACAGCTTACAGATCAACTATAGGACTTACACTATATACTCCTGAACGTAATTGAGGATTAAAATAAGCTCAAGGTAAATACACCTAGAAGCGACATACACCTCTATGTATGCATCCGATCTATACACTATAAGATTTTTGTTAATTATTATTTACAGAATACAAGTTGAGGTTGTTGGTATATTCACTTTCGATGGTTGGGAGGTGGACTATTGACTGCAATTTGCATGAACTTAATTATTGCAGTTTCAGGGATGAATTCGAAGTGGTTTGCCTGGTGTTTTTTTAATAATAATTATAATGGTTCTATGTTTTTTATAATTTACTTCTTTTTTAATTATGATTTTTCAACTTAGGTCTTTCATCCTCTTTTACCAAGCATGGGGGCGAGGCCGGAGGAGCCCCTTGGGGCCACCACTTTCTTCGTTGCTGTCATAGATCTATTGTGTAATCTTAAGATGATGTTTGGATTTGTGTGTGCTGGTTTTAATGAACTAATTTCATCCATCAGTTTACGATATTGTATAATGATTGACAGTTATTGCATCTATATATGTATTCTTTAATTGATAATAATTTACATTAGTAACACTTATTGATTTACATATAGTTCATAAACACATTCATTTATATGTTACATTATTAACATTTAATGAGCCGTCTTAGTGTTGTGTGGACCATGAAGCACATATGCAGACGAGGAGTCACAATAACGTGGCTAAAGTATGTTGACCAGACCACACACTAGAAGGTGAAGGGACGACGACGTTTCGGTCCGTCCTGGACCATTCTCAAGTCGTTTGTGCCAAGTCGTCTAGTGTGTGGTCTGGTCAACATGAAGTACATAGTTACACGCAGGCTTGGCTGCCTTGTTTGAGGTCAGGCTAATTCCACCCCTTCTCACCCCCCCCCCCCCTCCCCACGACCCACCAAGCCTGCCCCTCGACCACACCTGCTCTACACATCTGTGAGGATCTGCCCCTCAGACACAGACTGTGCAGCCACACCCAAAGACTTGTGTATACAATACGCAACACCCATCTCCAGTGACGACAGTGTATAGTGCTGTGCTTATACTAACATCTGCATATTAGAGTAGCCCGGAGACGCTACACGTGCTGTGCTCAGCTACGCTGCTCAAGCCTGTATACCTCTTTCTGTACATGACAACACTTCTCACTATACGTTGTAGCAAATAGGTAACCAGTACACATGTGCAGAACAATGCAACTGGTAGCAATAACAGCACTGCAGTAGTATCAACGCACAATACAGCTGCATAGTGACCTCCTCAACAGCTGTAACACAAACTCGCACTTGCCACAGCTGCACACACACATGCTTAGGTGAAGGGTATTGTGGGGGGGAGTGAGAGGACGACGTGGCAGTACAATGTTGTGTCACACAGGCATGTTGCCGGCGGCAGAAGGAACAGGGGAACCCTACGGGATCAACCGGCAGGTGGTGGAGGGCGCAGCGAGGGCAGGCGCCTCCAGGAGTGGCCACACCTCTCTACCGCGTCAGTTGGATGCTATACCCGCGCCGGCTCTCAACCAGGTGGTGACGGGCGATGACCCCCTTCCGGGAGAGGTGGCCGAAAAGGAACTCACGGCGGAAATCAACATCACGGTGGAAGATGATGGGCAGGACGCTGCCCAGGGGGTGGAGGGCAAGCTTGAGGACCCCAGGACGGACGGGGAGGGTAAGTGAGGCATTTTGGCCACCTCTCCTGATCTGGGGGGGTCGTCTTAGCACCCCCGGCTTATGGAGCCTTGTTCGTGCATGGCGCACTTGGCCAGGTCAATGATGCCTTGCCTGTAGCACGGAGCCCTCTACCTTGCCACCACCCGAGCCGCTGCTTCCGGGGCCTCAATCTGGCCTGCCTGTCCGGCCCAGCTGGCCTGCCTGTCCGGCCCAGCTGGCCTGCCTGTCCGGCCCAGCTGGCCTGCCTGCCTGCCTGTCTACCTGCCTGTCCGGCCCAGCTGGCCTGCCTACCTGCCTATTTGCCTGCCCGGCCCAGCTGGCCTACTTTGGACCAGCTACCTGCATGGACACCCAATGTTCCGACGTGCATGACCGCTTCAGCCACGCATGGACAAATTGCATGATACAGCTCAATTTACTTCTTTATTACGCTACGATTTCTCACGCCTGATGAGTTCAATTGAACCATACTTTTATTTCCTGCATCCATTTGACACAAATATTTGCCAATATGTTCGCGTAAATTGCTTGGGAACCGAAACTGCGTGACGTCCCTACTGTCCGGGGGCAGACGGACGCCGTCTCAGGGGTGATGCTGGAGCACACTCCCGGGGCCTTGAGGTGATGAGTTAGATATTGATCACGACCACACGGCCTCATCGGCCCTCACTCACCTCATCAAGTTGAATACCCCTCACGAACGCCTCTAATCTCATTATTCCTCAAACTTTTCTGTATGCTTTATTTTATTAATTGATAATGAATAGTGTGTTATATGGACGTATATATAACGAAAATATGGTTATTACGGGTTCCACAACTTTCTGCGCACATGGCAGTCCTCTCAGATGTAAATAATCACCCTAATTGTCGACTGTCGTCCCCCCTTCCTCGCCCCGGGAGGAAAGAGGGAAGAGAGACAACCTCTCACAAATAGAACTAGGAAAGCGACGTTACCTGTTGGTTGTAACTGCAGTGCCTGGCCTGTTGTCTAGTTGAATCGAAAAAAACGGCTTTTCCGACGCGTTAGTGCATGCAGACTCATTTTAAAGCGTGTTTGCTCGTTAGTTCCAAAGTGCCTCCACAACACACCCTCACAAACAGGTAACTTGCGGTCTTTCCTCACGGGTGAGAGGAGACGCAGACACACCCTCTGAGTCTACGCGTTACTGGACGCGCGTCACTGGTTGTCCACCGCGCGAACACCGGCTACAGTGTCACAAGGCTCCGCGCGGCTCACCAGGTCACCAGCGGCGCCTCGTTCCTCTGCACCAACCACACACACCGTGACGCCGACAGTGACGTCACAGCAGTCACAAGGACCCGGCGTCTCAACTAGTATGTCGTCTTTTTAACGGAATCGACCAATCTGCTAAAATGCGACGCATTAGTAAAACAAAATAAAAGTACCGTCAAATTGACACTGTCAATGCATCAGTTTCTATTGGTCAGGTTGGTTCCATAATTCGCTCGCTTCTGGCGAAGCCACAAGAGTGGTATTTTTACGGAGTGTCAGAACGAGAGAACGACTGTCTTCACAGCAAGAACTATCGTCATTCAGTAGCACATTCTCCAGGCTGGCAACTGACCTCCCAAACCTTGTTACCGGTGACGAGCCGTGAACCACCCTCCATACAACCCGTCCTCGACTCAAGTCCATTACATTCACCGGTCGACCCCACAGACGCATTCATAAATTTTAACATGCTGTTCATTCAAAACGGGAATTTTCTCAAGTATAAATTAATATTATAATATATTAGCATATTGTGCATATATAGGCATAGGTTAGGTTAGGTGTTTAGGTTCTGTTGGCGATTATTTGTATTTGTAGTACGTGGGTGAAGCATTTATAGCGTTGTGATTCGAACAAAATTCGTCAGTGAAACACTTGTTCCGGATATGTTCGAACGTCAGCAGTTGTGAGTCGTGTGTAAACCGCTTTTCATTCATAAACAGGGGGTTTGGCGGGTGCATGGAATCACTTTTGTATCTTTGTTTGGAGGACGGGCTGTACCAACACATCCGGAGATTCCCTCTGCTCGAACTAGTGATTCGGTCCTTCGAACACACACACAAACACAGCGGACGAGCGCCCCAGGTCAGTCACAGAGCACGGCCCTGTCTTCACTCGCTGACTTAACACACCATAGTACCAGCCCATTGTATCATTAGCACAGTATGTATTATGAAGAAGAAGAACACAAAATATGGAATGCATAGGAGTCCCGGTCGGTTACCGTGAAAACATTAGTCACCCACAGCTTCACATTCGTTTTTTTCGCGTCTTATGCGCTCTGTTGAGCAAGGATTTGTTTTTATTGGAATAGTTAGGTTACTTTCGGGTAGCTAGGATCTTATTCTAGCGGATCAGTATAGCTGCAATAACTTTGACTGACTTGCTTAGCGAGTTGCTAACGACGAAGTTCACCGTGAACATGAATGGATCACGTGTAAGAGGTCATAGATTAAATGATAATGATTTATTGGTTGCGTGCGTTGAGAGGTGACGTGTGGGGTCTTGACGGTATAGTATAGTTCTGAGGTCCTTGCTGTGGCCTCTCACCCTCCTCCTGATGCTGGGTTAATGGTAGTGGCTTAAACACGCTTCCTCTGGAACTTATGATCTTCCCGTCCACACTAATGAAGCATTCTGTTTGACGCAGTCTGTGTCAGCCTCCCCGTGCATGATGTCCCCTCTTGAAGCACGCTGCGTGACGCAGTCTGTGTCAGCCTCCCCCGTGCATGCTGTTTCATCCTCCCCGTGCATGATGTCTCCCCTTAAATCACGCTGCTTGACGCACTCTGCATGAGCCAACGACAGTGCACCTTTTCTGTATTGCAAACTATCATAACTTCCCAACAAACACTCACGCGTCAAACACGAACCATACTGAGAGTATGAATCAATGACAGAATTATTAATACACTCAGACTAGAACTCAAAATGAATACTTAACCACACCAGTGCGTTAATCAAACAGGGGTGACTAGTATGAATTTTTCACTACATACTGCATGTTCTCGGAAACACCTAAATATATATATCTATGTACATAATGTGTTATGTGTTCGACAGCATCTATACCATCGTGTAACGGAGGCGCAGGTCTGGTTCGCTTCGAGAGGCTGCCAGACACCGTCATGGAGAGGACGCCGATTCAGGCTGACGTGGTAAGTCTTATCTTAGTCTTTTATCTTATCCACTTCCGTCTTGGCTTTGCTATGTCTTGTCGTGACTAAGTCTTACTTCCCCTCCATTCAGTAGTCAAGAATAACTCTTGGCAAGCGTTTACCAACACTCAACAACCACTCATAGACACTACTATAATTTTTTGTCATTTCAATCAATATTGTAAAACAAGATATGTTAGCATGTGATTGGCATCCGACAGGATAAGCGCCTCAATATGTTGAACAGTAAGAGTGAGCATTTGCATTTCCATTTGGAGACTTTCAGCGCCGTGGAGAGGGGGGACCTGCTGCCTGGGTAACAGCTTCTCCCCCGAATCAACCTACCCTGGCTTTGCGCCCTGGTGAGGCCACTCCAGACCAGGCCGACGCCAGAGCGCAACTCCATAGTCTCCTAAGACTGATGGATGCCTACTACTAAGACGGGATACAAGCTCGATATAGCTGGTAGTGTAGTGTGTATGGAGCATGCACTCCACCAGTGAGTGAGAGGTCTATACTTCCTCTCCCTCTATGTGTGAGTCCTAATGTCTGTTGAGCTAGCCACACTGCTATCCCTTTCCATTATGTAATTATATACAGTGATATTAGTTGTGTATTCCTATACCTCAGCATGGCTACAGGTCGCCATAGTGCTTGTGTGTGTGTGTATATTCCAGCTACAATTACGTCGCTGCTAATATTGCCATACATGTCTCTCCTATTCTCTGTTTACTACACCATCCCGCTTCCGTAAAGACGTATAGTGTAACTATGATCAACAATGGTTGTAAAAGTAAGGACACGATTCTTGCAATGTTATTGTTGCTGTTGTCATTGCAAGGTAAGGTAATTATGAGGATGAAAGTGCTAAGCCAGTATGACAATATAGCACTTGGTTGTCCCTGCAAGTCCTCCTTTCTTGAACAAATCCACAAGGGCCGTGACGAGGATTCGAACCTGCGTCCGGGAGCATCCCCAGACACTGCTTTAAGTTGTAAAAGTTAACTGTAAAGATCAGTATCCTTTTTTCTTCACGGTGTAGATACGTGAATTTAGAGACAATTCTATAACCAATGTTCACGGCCACAGATACGCAAGAACGACACGCCGGTAGAGGTCCTGGGGGTGTGCGTGGACAGGTGCCTGCAGGATGAGACGGCTCAGGGCTTCAAGAGCATCTGCACCGCCTTCGACTACCTCCCCGGCAGGAGGATCAACTACTACAACAATGCTCTCGGGTTTACGGAAACCAAGTGTCTTCTCACCCGGCCGCCCGACCAGTACGCCGATATCCGCTACCGCGACGAGCAGGACAGCGTCCACTTCCGCGAGGTCTGCTATACAGGTGTGTGTGTGGAGGTGGGCCGGGTGTGCTAGGACAGGTGTGTATGGTGCCATAATTGATGTGACTTATCTTATTAATATGAATAAAGTAGGTAGGTGTGGTGGAGCTGAGGCCAGGAGCCGAGCGCTGGTGCCAGGAGATCAGTCACCACTTTGAGACCATAGTTGGGAACGGAACTCGGGTCGCTGGCAGTACCAGAGACGTCCTTTACAGAACTGACCTCTCTGAGCAGATTGATTGATTGATGAAGATTAAGCCAGCCAAAAGGTGGCACGGGCATGAATAGACCGTAAATGGTGGCACTTTGGAGCCATTACCAGTATCAATATCTGATAATGGATATCTGTGGAGGTGCGACTGCACCCTACGGAGAGGTTATGTCCTCTGCTCTCTGAGCTGTTATTAAAGGTCATTATGCCTTGCTCAGCATCTTTACCTCAGTGACGTAATTGATCAGTACCCATATTCCACTTCTTGAGTCCTTCCTCGGCTGTGAGCAGTAGCTCCCACTTTTCAAGAGGTTTAATTAAGAAAACAATGACACTGCAGGAGTCTCATACGAAGTAGCTTGTGTTTATATCCTCCCAAACTTTTTCATATATGTCTAACCTACGTTTGAAACAATCCAGAAACCCCCACGTCTGTTATATCACCCGGTAAATTGTTCCATAAATCATCAATCCTGTTTCCAGTCCAGTATTTACCCAGGTCTTTCCTGAATCTTAACTTATTGAATTGATTTCCATTGTTTCGAGTTCTATTTTGTGATAATATATTTGCAACCTTACTTATATGCCCTTTGTGTCCCAGACAACAATGTTGCCACACAGGTGGTAGTGAAGTTCTCCTCATTACCGTCTACTTCACAACATAACGTTCCTTCTGCCAGTAGAGCTGCCACAAGAGAGGTGGTATCACTGCAGAATTCCTTTATGAATGTTGTCTCCATATGGCTATCCACCAGATATACCGTCCTTCACAAACAAGGTGTTTAATTACAAAGGACGTTAATCAGCCCAATTCTCAAGATCCCCCCCTCAGACTAGAGTGAATCTTCGGCCGTGTTGGCCATCTTGGGCTTCCCGGGAGAAAAGCCTGTTCCAATCTGATTGGTTCTGGCAACTTATCTCTAATGTCACAGCCAATTAGAATCGGTCATGTGACTACTCCCACCTGACTAACCTACACATTCACCCGACGACACATCTATCATCGCTTCTGGAAGGCTTACGGATGTGTGTTAGCTTCTTAAGTGGTAGACGAACATTGAAAATATATGAAGAAGAATAAAACAGTCTAAACACCCTACTGGGAGGATAAGACAAAGAATGAGATCATCCGGATCATTGTGGCGACTTGGCCCAGAGTCCAGGTGCCCACCGCAAGGCTCCAGATGATTTTCTCAGTTTCATATCACGCCATTGTCATATGAAAGATGTTATACCATCAATATTCTGAATGTTATATAACTAATGCACTAGATATTATCAATATTAACCGTATGACTAAAGTAAGTGGACTTGAGCTGAAGTCCAAAAGGCTTCTAATAGTGGATGAATCAATGTGTGTGGAGATAGATATGCACGTGTAAGAGGACTTAATTAAGGGAATGAGTGGCTGATGTAGTCGTTCTCGCTCGCAGCGTCGGTGGTGCGCGCCGAGTGCCCCACCAGGATGTACGCCATGGAGCGCCTCCGGAACAAGAGATTCATACCCAAAGATGCCGTCCAGGTGGAGGCCGCCACCATCGAGGAGTGCCAAGACAAGTAAGGCATTGTTTTCTGTCCAGGGGGAGAAGGGAAATTGTCTCGGGAAATTTTAAGAAGTATTTTTAATCTATTTCTGTGCAAGAAAAACTCTGGAATAGTTATCAATATATATTATTTCATTTTGTATATGTCTGTTTCTCTGTCCTTCTTACTGTGTCAGAATGTATCTGCCTGCCTGTCTTTCCATCTCTAATATGTCTGCCTGTCTGTGTCTCTCTCTCTCCTTCAGCGTGTTCTGTCCATCCGCATTTCCATTTCTTTCTCTCCTCCTCCTCCTGCTCTTCAGGACATCTCCCTCCTGGTCGAGGCGTCTCCATCCTCATACTAGTCCCTCCCCCGGCAGGTGCCTGAATCAGTACGCGGACGAACAGGTGAGCACCAATAGGACCTGCAGGAGCGGCACCTTCGACAAGGAGCGGCGGCGCTGCTACCACACCTCCTACACCCTCAGGACCCACCCTAACCTCCTGGAACAACACCAAGACTTCGACTACTTTGAAAACACCTGTCTTACTAGTGAGTAGCCCCGGAGGTCACCAGGTGGACATCTCACGGGTCAAGCTAAGACGTCATAAGGGCTCATTAGGAAGACATTTTAGTGGTTACCAATAAGATATCTCATTAATATATTTCGGACACACTATTATAGTATAGTCAAGTGTGCAGGAAGAGCCCAAGCTCGCTTTGTTTCGGTCATTATTGATATTCTTCGGGCCACCGGCAATGTTCCCGCCTAAACTCCAAACGAACGCTTTCTGACATTTTTATTTCAGAGGACCGCCGATGCCCTAAGAACAAACTGATGTTCCTGAAGTCGGTGAACACAGAGCTGGGCGGGTCCCACGACACGGAGGTGCACAAGGGCGTGGATCTGGACGAGTGCAAGGAGAAGTGCATCGACAGCCTCTCCATCTTCTGCAGGAGCTTCGAATACGACGCGGCCTCCAGGACGTGTGTGTTGTCCGACGAGGACGCCATCAGCAAGCCAGATCAGATCAGAGCCTCCACCTCCGACCGTCACCAATATTACCAGGTCATCTGCATCGACGGAGGTAACTTGGCGAGAAATGGGTTCAGGGCATCATAGATAACTCATGTTAATATCAGAATTGATGACGTGTTGTGAGCTGCTAGTTAATAAAATGAAACTATAACAAGTTATCTGCTCAGGATTCAGTGATGTAAACATGTCAAGTTAATCACGTAATGTAAGTCAATTGACGCGCTGATAACTCGATTACTCTTGCCTGGCCACAGAGAAGGTGAAGGGCGACTACGTCTTCGACAACTCTGACACTCAACAACTCAACCAGCGACGCTACAGCGACGTCCGCACTGCCTTCCAGCTCTTCAGGGACAGCCGACTCGAACTCGGATCAGGGTGAGTCTGGCAGTCTGCCACTGGCACTCACTGGCATCTGAGTGTAAGGTCATCCACTTATTGCTTACGTCTTTTGTTTCCCGGTTATTATTTTGCGATAAGAGGACGATTATAGCGACGTTGTTACATAAGCCCAGCCTGAACGAGGCGCTTCAGATTAATCTGTCAAAGAAATATTGTTAAAGTCAATATGAGTGGCCGCGCCTTCACGTCCTACCTTGAGGTGCTTCCGGGGCTTAGCGTCCCCGCGGCCCGGTCGTCGACCAGGCCTTAGATAATGGGAGCAGCGGCTGAAGACGTTACGCATATACGGCAGACAGTAAAGCCAAGAGCAGAGAGAGAGAGAGAGAGGGAGAGAGAGAGAGAGAGAGAGAGAGAGAGAGAGAGAGAGAGAGAGAGAGAGAGAGAGAGAGAGAGAGAGAGAGAGAGAGAGAGAGAGAGAGAGAGAGAGCGAGAGAGAGAGCGAGAGAGAGAGAGAGAGAGAGAGATAATGATAATTTTTGGAATATAATTAAACTGTCTGGAGTGGACGTACTCGCATTGCACCAACACGACCTCTCCCCCCAACACGACCTCTCCCTCAACACGACCTCTCCCCCAAACAAGACCTCAACCTAACTCTGACAGGAGCCCCTATCTCACCCCCACTATAACCCTGACTTTACAGTTCATCCTTGCCTGTTTACCCCTGCAGATTCCGTGGCTTCAGAGAGATGCCTGGTCGGCTGACCTTGGCAGAGTGCCTAGACGAGTGCCTGGAGGAGAAGTCCTTCATCTGCCGCTCCGTGATGCACTCTGAGTACTCTCAGGTGTGCAGGCTCTCAGAGTACGACCAGCTTAATGGCAGGCTCGTCCCTGACAGAGAGTACAACTACTTCGAGAATCTCATGGGTGAGTTGTCTAAGTGGTATGGCGGGAGCGGGTGTAGATGAGGAGGAATAGACGAAGAAGGGAAGTGTCATAGAGAGGAGAATAGAAAATTAAAATGATGAAAGAACAGGAATAAAATGGAATAGGTATATAGAAGAGAGAATGAGTGAGTAAAGGTGGAGAGGGAGAGAAGATATTCCAAAGTGGAGGAAAGTGAGTAACTTCTGATAGAGATCAGAGGTAGACAGTGAAATATGAGTAAGGCGAGAGGGAAGTAGAGGCGAGGGAAGGTGGATTGTCCTTAACGAGACGTGGAAGAGATGAATGATGAGTAAAAAGGCTGAAAGTGAAGCAGTGAGGACGAGAGAGTTACACAACATATTAACATGTGAAAATGTATTTCCACAGAGCGATGTATATATAAAGTATTAATTGCAAATCTTCTGGGGAACAGTGTGTTATACATGACCAGCTGTGACGTGACCAGCTGTGACATGATCAGCTGTGACATGACCAGCTGTGACATGACCAGCTGTGACGTGACCAGCTGTGACATGACCAGCTGTGACATGACCAGTTGTGACATGATCAGCTGTGACATGACCAGCTGTGACGTGACCAGCTGTGACGTGACCAGCTGTGACGTGACCAGCTGTGACGTGACCAGCTGTGACATGACCAGCTGTGGCGTGACCAGCTGTGACATGACCAGCTGTGACATGACCAGCTGTGACATGATCAGCTGTGACATGATCAGCTGTGACATGAGCAGCTGTGACATGACCAGCTGTGACATGACCAGCTGTGACATGACCAGCTGTGACGTGATCAGCTGTGACATGACCAGCTGTGACGTGACCAGCTGTGACATGACCAGCTGTGACGTGACCAGCTGTGACATGACCAGCTGTGGCGTGACCAGCTGTGACATGACCAGCTGTGACATGACCAGCTGTGACATGATCAGCTGTGACATGATCAGCTGTGACATGACCAGCTGTGACATGACCAGCTGTGACATGATCAGCTGTGACATGACCAGCTGTGACATGACCAGTTGTGACATGACCAGCTGTGACATGATCAGCTGTGACATGATCAGCTGTGACATGACTAGCTGTGACATGACCAGCTGTGACATGACCAGCTGTGACATGACCAGCTGTGACATGATCAGCTGTGACATGACCAGCTGTGACATGATCAGCTGTGACATGACCAGCTGTGATATGACCAGCTGTGACGTGACCAGTTGTGACGTGACCAGCTGTGACATGACCAGCTGTGACATGATCAGCTGTGACATGACCAGCTGTGACATGACCAGCTGTGACATGACCAGCTGTGATATGACCAGCTGTGACGTGACCAGCTGTGACATGACCAGCTGTGACATAACCAGCTGTGACATGACCAGCTGTGACATGACCAGCTGTGACGTGACCTGCTGTGACATGATCAGCTGTGACGTGACCAGCTGTGACATGACCAGCTGTGACGTGACCAGCTGTGACATGACCAGCTGTGACATAACCAGCTGTGACATGACCAGCTGTGACATGACCAGCTGTGACGTGACCTGCTGTGACATGATCAGCTGTGACGTGACCAGCTGTGACATGATCAGCTGTGACATGACCAGCTGTGACATGACCAGCTGTGACATGACCGCCAAATATTTTAGTTTAAAGCTATAACTCATTTCCTTCGTTTTTCTTATCAGCTTTACATTTTAAAATGCGTATTAATCTAGCTATCTTCAGCAATTTCCTCATCTCACTCATTCCAGTTATTGACAACTGTAACACACAAGACGATACATTTATGGTATCTCATATGTGCCTCGACTGCTCTTTCTAGCTTAAAACAATGCTTTTTTATCTACTTTATCAATTCATCTTAGAATCCTATATGTCGTAATCATGTCTCCCCTATTCTTTGACGCCTCTAATGTGGCGTTTAGCATATGCTGATGATATTATTCTGCTAACCTGTGTTTCTGGCATTAGATTTGTTCACATACAGATTTTAATTTTTTTCAATGCATGAATGTGTTCCACATTCAGTTTAGGCTGCTGTTAATGTCTTCTCGTTCCTGTTCCTATCATTATAACTTTGCACTTGGCTGCGTTAAAGTCTAGTATCCATTTCTCAGACTACTTGTCGAGTGTCAAGATATTCTTGCAGGTTACTGCAGTTCTGCTCTGAATCTTCTCATTAATTTTGCATCATTTGTAAACATTGATCTGAATGTGTTCATATACCTTATCAGGATGTTAATAATCTTGATACCCTGATGTTGATATCCTATCAGTAGGCTAGGCCTTCGTACCGACACTTGCTGCTATTATTTCAACTGTTGCAATGGAGTTGCACCTCTCTCCTCTCTAATATCTACCCCTCTCACTGTAACCCTCTGTTTCCCTCCCGAGAGGTACTCCTCTACCTATTTGTGAGTTGGTGTACTTGGTGTACTGCTCAGGATACACCAAACTGCTTCTCCAGCTAGAACAGGAATCTCTTGAGCGATACTGTATCAGAGTCTGAATCAGTGCTGATGTATAGAGACAAATTTTAACTGTTTTTAAATGTGCTACGAGACTACTTCAGATCAGTCTGTCAGGTAAATTCCAGAGAATGCATGGTAGTGATACAGGTTCAGTGGTTCTTATCTTCCTTCTTGAATACTGACAATACATTTTGCAATTTCTACCGGTTTGGAGCACTACATTTTCCAGTTGGGGCTTGAATACTATAGCATGTGGTTTACACAATGCTACTACCGTCTAATTTATTACTCACGGTCATATCCTGTCTAGACCTACAGCTTTTATAACATTTAGTTACTTTAGTAGTTGCCTTACTTTTTTGTGATACTATAATTTCAGTCTTTCCTGCAGGGATGTTTGTTTAGTTAGAGCTCTTGGGGTCTTGTGAAGATTTGATTATACTTTAAAAATCTACTTGAGAGCTTTTACTAATGTGTTTTTGCATACTTCCTTATCGTTCTCTGAGTGTTCTAAAGCTTTGCTTGTGTAGCCTGGTCATTAGATCGTTCACATACATCTTCCTGACGTGACAAATGGAGTAATTCAGGCTCGTCCTTATCTTTGGATGCTATGTCATTCCCATACTGCTTGTATGTTTCTCTCCTAGTTTCAGTGTCCTCCTTCCTCGCTCTTTTATACGCTCTGGGGTTCCCATCTGCTCTGTGGTCTCTGCATTTCATGCATGATCCTTTGCCTCTCTAGCGATGGGAACAGTGTAGTGTGTGTGTGTGTGTGTGTGTGTGTGTGTGTGTGTGTGTGTGTGTGTGTGTGTGTGTGTGTGTGTGTGTGTGTACTCACCTAATTGTGCTTGCGGGGGTTGAGCTTTGGCTCTTTGGTCCCGTCCCGCGGCTCTTTGGTCCCGCCTCTCTTTGGTCCCGTGTGTATGTGTGTGTGTGTATGTGTGTGTGTGTGTGTGTGTGTGTGTGTGTGTGTGTGTGTGTGTGTGTGTGTGTGTGTGTGTGTGTGTGTGTGTTATATTCATCTACATGTCATTATTAAGAGATGGAGTGTGTACTTTGAATAGAATAAATGCACTTGAGAGGAAAACAGTCTTATATATCATAGCTCATGGGAGTGATTTATCTTAATAAATCATGGCATTCGCAGTGCCAGTCTATAAATAGTTACCTTAATTATTGACCTTGGTGATTGTAAGGACTTGGTGATTGTAAGGGCTTGATGATTGTAAGGGCTTGGTGATTGTAAGGTCTTGAGCTGCTTACTGCTTGAGGGACGACACCATCCTGTGTTGTGAAGAGCAAGAGATTTAACAGTGTGGTGTGAGTTGTATTAATAATGGCCAGAGAAGCCATAAGTAGGCTGGTGTGTGCTTGAGTAAGTGAGTAAGTGGTCGTGAGTGAGTAAGACTATACATGCATGAGTCCACAAGTGAGTGAGGCAGTAGGTGAATAAGGTCATAAGAGAATGAGGCCTCCCTCTGGCCCGAGACTGATGCCTTTGGCTGCTGATGTCGCTGTAGAGAACCTGATGGTGGCCCGAGGGACGACCGGGTCTGCAGATTCCGGTGCGGCTGTGGCAGGCAGCAGGACGGGCGTGTCTGACGACGTCCAGCCCACAGACGGTGTAGATGAGGCAGGTCCGGGCAGCGCTGGCCAGACGGGAGCCAGCCGGCCAGGTGTAGGCATTCGGTTCCCTGGGGGCCGAAGAGACGGCGACACAGACAATGGCTTCAATAGTGTCGGCGACGTCGGCACCAGAGGTGGCGCATCAGCTTTCGAGGGCAGTAGAGGCGCCAGTGGCACCAACAGGTTTGGAGACAGCAGCGACGACACCAGGTTTGGGGACACCGGAGACACCAGGAGGCTCGGAGACGGCAGGTTTGGAGTCAGCAGAGGTGGCGGTGAGACCAGTTTCGTGACGCTTGGGGGTAGAGGCAGTAGTGACGGTGATAGATTCCGTCCCCTGAGCCCGTCTCGACCGCCCGGGACATCCCTACAGGACCGACCTGGTCTCTACCGCCCCGTCAGCACCGACCTCACCGGTGTCTTCAGCGGCAGCCGCGGGGCGGTGAGCAACGTCTTCGGCAACGGTCGCCAGACGGACGCTGGATCACGTATCCTCGGGGCTCTAGGATCAGTGGGGACGCTAGGAGCGGACGATCCTCTATCCACTATGGAAGGTACCGGCATGGCCCAAACGTCTTCTGCCACTGCTTCAGTTCTCGCACCTGTACTACGGTTGACTTAGCCCCTGTGCATGTCGCGGCGCTCACAACATGGACCCAAACTTAAGTGCATGGGAACACTTACAAAATGAGTACAAAATATCACTAATTGTGCATGTGAAAGTCAGCATAGCAAGAGATGTGTGCATGGAACTCTTCCAAACTGAACTTGAAAAATAGTGCCAACTGTGCATGGATGGTCCAGTGTTCATATATGAACAGCTTCTGAGTGATAAGTAATAGCAAGCTTTAGCTCGCCTGCTCTGCATGACTAGATTATACTATACATGTTGTTTTGTCCTCACGAGAATGACTGGGCCCTCCAGCCTGGCCAAGTTTCACACACTCACAGCTACATATGTCAACAGCTTGCATGATATCCGCATGTTGTCTATAACTGGACTTATTAACTAGTAATTAACTACCGACAGAGAATACAGCCAAACAAGGACTGAGAACTAGTGAGTAATGTTCCCTCCCTCGGTGATACACTGATCACTGCCTCACCCCTAGGGGGGCAGTTCTCTACAGGTTATTGATGAGTATTTTCGGCCCCGTGCGACACCGAGGTTGGATAATACCGTGACTGTCTGTGATGGAGGGACAACGGTTTGTGTGTGTGTGTGTGTGTGGCCCTGTTCGCTGCCACCACCACTAATGACTTCTCTCCACCAACCGCCACACCGACTTACGTAATGGCAGTCTTTTTTCTCACTCCGCCTCCCTCATAATCCCTTACCCTTCCCTCCCTCTCTGCCTCCCTTCAACTTGTCTCATTCAGCTGTAGTATGAGGTATGTTGAGCGCCATTTAGGCAGCGTATTCAGGCACCCAACGCTCAAGTCACCGTCGCTGGCAAGAAGCAGCATTCCTCAATATATATAACTTGAACACTAGTGAGCATTTCCCCCTTTCACCAGTTATCAACATAGAGCACCAGCACCTTTAACCTCAAACACCAGTCACATCCAAAGAATTCGGACGTCAGAATAGTTCATTTATAACGTAACAGGTACAACAAGGCTAACAGGCGGGGCACACGAAGCTAGATCTCACTCCCCGGTAGTCACTGTTAGGCGAGTACCACCACAACAACTTATTGGGTAGAATCATCACTCAAACAACGCTCCCACACGTTACTGCCATCTCATACGTCAGCGTTATCGTCCCCCACAGAGCAATAACATCTCCCCACAGGCAGTAGCATCCCCCCACAGCGCCCTCACACGCAGTAGTGAGAGCAGTGTGGCCACCAGCACCCTCACAACCAGCCTCTTACTGACAGCCCCGATCCTCCGGTCATCGCTTTTCAGGAGCGAACCGTGACGTTGATATTTCAGGAAGTGATTTTGGCGCGAGTAGTGGTGTCGGCGGCGCTGTTGGCGGCGGTGCTGCAGGAGGATTTGGCGGCGGTTCTGCAGGAGGATTTGGCGGCGGTGTTGGAGGAGGATTTGGCAGCGGTGTTGGAGGAGGATTTGGCGGTGTCGTTGGAGGGGGATTTGGCGGCGGTGTTGGCGGCGTAGGTAGCCGGCCAAGGCCGCCCTACACCGGCGCAGAGGGCCAGGCCGCCTCCCGCTGCTTCAGCTCAGACAACTTCGAGCCTGTAGGAACGAGGCTACGTCTTCGCTCCACCTACATCCGAGACTTCGTGAGCGTCAACTCCCTCAGCGACTGCAAGAGGGCGTGCTTGGCCGAGCGCTCCTACACCTGCAGGAGTTTTAACTACAGGTGAGTGTGCATCGCTGGGGACATGGATGGTGGTGGTGGTGATGTTTATGTCAGCAAAAAGGGCATCAGTCCCCGCACGGTTAACCCTTATGTCTCACGATAAGATAATGACTGGTCCATTTATGTTAGTTATCCTTCAAATTCTGTTCTCATTCACATTTTTTATGATGTATGTTTTGCCAAAATGTCTCACTGCTCTGAGTGTATTTGTAAGTCATATTAGTTTTTTCGGTTAGACACCTGTTCCCTCCAGCCACAACTACACACCTGTTTCTTCCAGCCACACATGTAATGATTTGTGGAAATCACTTACGAATTAGGTTTCTAAAGCGAACCATCATCCTAGATGCGATGGTATGAGTTAGACTCATCAAATGTGGTGATATATTAACAAAAAGATAAATTTGCCATAAACCTGTACTAAAACTTTAAACTTGGTACAGTGATAGTTTAGAGTCTTGTATTAGGTCTGATGACCAAATCACACATCAAAAAAGGAAGGGACGACGACGTTTCGGTCCGTCCTGGACCATTATCAAGTCTGGACCCGACCTGATAATGGTCCAAGGACGGACCGAAACATGACCTCAATAATCCTCACAGGGCCACATATCCTCGACAATGGTATACCATACAACTACACCATGAGCTGAAACCCAACAAATTTATTTCTCGTGGGTTAATATAGTTATTCAGGGTTCAATTCATGTAATGTTTAGACGTGTTGTACGCCACATGTGTGTCTTTGAAGAACAGTTTACACGTCAGCTCATGTTGCCTATATTCCAAGTGTACTTCCCGTAGACTAAACCTTGTGGAGTAGAATGTGACATAATAATCCGAGAAGAATCTTGACCGAGGTCACTAAAGCCGTGGGCGTAATGCAGCAGCAGCTGCTGCTGTTGCTGACGGCAGACTCATTCTCCAGCACCTGGTTTCATTCTCTTGTGTTATTTTCTCATCCGTTGAGTTGACATACATAGTGTTGGATGCTTGTGAAGCTCTCCACTCTGAGAGAGAGAGAGAGAGAGAGAGAGAGAGAGAGAGAGAGAGAGAGAGAGAGAGAGAGAGAGAGAGAGAGAGAGAGAGAGAGAGAGAGAGAGAGAGAGAGAATGGATTCTTCTGTTTCTAGCTGTCTTTTTTTTTTAGCTTAGCCTTTCTTGGCTTAGCTTTTCCTTCTTGATTGGCACCTAGCTGACTCTCCTATATATCTTTACATGTATTGAGCACGACTCATTTTCTCTAGCTATCTGGAATTCGATCTAGATCCGATTTACCTATAATGTGTTGCTTTCGTGTAGACGCTGCATACTGCAGAATTGGTCTCACGTATGTAATGTACACTATCCAAATGAATTTCTTGATGGGGTTATTTAATTCTGAGCAACATATGCCAAATTTGCATGTTGTGTGTGCGTATGTGGCATGTTTCATACACGTGCAACATATGTATTTCGTAAAGAATAATCTATATACATAAATAGATTATTTATGTGTAAACTATAAGTTGAGAAAATATTGAGGTCATGTATTGAGATCGAACCTGCGTCCCTGGACCCCTCAAGGCACACACTACCGCCTGAACCATGATGAGCTTAACGTATATCGACCACAGGTTCTTCTCATCTCGTGGCCTCAATAAGTTCCCAGAGATATATCACGTTTTTTTTTTTGTAATTAAATTTTGCTGTTACGTTTATGGCTTAAGTGAAACGTTATGAGCATGTGTCATTAAACAGTTAGAATGTCTTTATCCTTGATAGCCAGGAGCATGTCCCTTATCCTTAAGAGCCAGGAGCATGTCCCTTATCCTTAAGAGCCAGGAGCATGTCCCTTATCCTTAAGAGCCAGGAGCATGTCCCTTATCCTTAGAAGCCAGTACCATATCCCTCGTCTTTGAGAGTCAGTACCAAATACCTCGTCCTTCAGAGCCAGAAGCATGCCCAGTCCCTGATATTCCCCCACCATCACTTTTTAACATTGTGTGCCAAATACCGCTCTTCAAAGTACCACTTTACAGCCTGCATGCTTAACACTTATAAGTGGCTCGTGTCCCTAATCCTACTCAAAGTGATATGTAACTTATCCTCAACATCGCCTGCATGTCTGTTTCTAATTCTGTCTGGTACTCGTTCCTTGCTTGCCTACCCCACCACCCTTGTGCACCCTGGCATGGCTCTAGGTACTCAACCAATCGCGATAACTGTGAACTATCGGACGAGAACTCACACACCATCCTCCGCGTCAACAATCCGTCCCACTTCGACTCTGACGGCACCTCAGACTACTACGAGAGAGGCGACGGCGCCAGGGACTCCGACTGTCACGATGGTAAGTCCGGATTTCATTCTTTTTTTCCGGTGTCCTAACGCCATGTTTTATCCATCTGTGTTCTCTCTTCAGTCCTTCCTTCTCTTCGGTGATGGAACAGTGTCTATGTATTAAGTGTTATTTGTTTTCTCGAGTAGTGATAATCTGCACTCCACAAGTGGTTTCACGTCAGCTGGTGTTAAGCCAAGAGATTAAGAAAGCTACAGATAAGTGCAGATCATCGGGTGCTCATTTCTTCACAGAAGTTGGTCCGACAGAGATGCAGATGGACTGGAGGCGTCGTTTATTAGGGGTAGCAAAGTAGTCGACAGTAGTGTGGGAGTGATGCCACTAACCGCCTTTACATCGTCTCTAGATCCTTTTTCCCCGAGAACTGCGAGCTGTCGGACGAAGACTCCGGCACACTCACGGGCGACGAGGCCGACCATTACGAGACCAACACGCTTTATCAGTTTTATGAGAGACGTGTAGACGACAACTGTCTCGATGGTTAGTGGGTCCCAGACTTGGCATGTCGGGAACGCGGGGTGTCCGGTGGTCGCTCTCATTCACATCTTTGTTTGGTTTCTGGGTGTTTGGTTTTAGCCAGACTTGTCTGCTCGTGTTAACCGGAATGCCATCTGCAGCTAAATATCATCCTGACACCGTTTCTTGTTTCTGGGGCATTGTCAATATCTGTTTGTTTGCAGAAGTAATGGATGGTGTGTGTGTTGGATTTAGAGGCTATAACTACTTTAGTGGACTAGACTAATAAACTTCACAGACGTACACCCTGTCACTCACCCATGCTAGGACGCGTGAATGCAAATGCAAACTCGAACACACCCGCAGACACATACACCACAGTGATTTCTACCTCAGACTGGAGACACATTATTAACTCCTGAAACCTGATAAATATCCTCAGTAAATCATAAACTAAAGTATTTCAATCTATATCTAGTAAAAAATGTATAAATTTTAGTATTTTAAACTCCATTCTATCATTTTCATAGACTGGAATATAAAGGGAAAATATCTAGAGGTTGTTAGCCTTGCCACATATTTAGAGGTTGTTAACACTGACACATATTTAGAGAGTTACACTGACAAATCGGTCAGATTTTAAGCACCTTAAATGGACTAAAATCTGATTATGACACATGGGTGGCCTTCACATTAATAAAAAAGAGCGCCGAACACAAAGCTGAAGATTCACAAGTTTGTAGAATGTGTTCTACAAACACATTTTTGAGTTAATGTGTTCACAGCTGCACTGGTCAAGCACTCAGCTCAACTCAAGCACACAACTATCAACTCACAAAACATTACCGGAATAACCACGAACTACAGTAGTAACCTGAGGCCACACACACAACACTCACCATTACCAAGCACAGTTTACTCAGGTCTCATATTTATTACATATACACGAACGCAATTTATACAATATTTCGAGCTGAAACTTCGTTCATGCGCCCACGCTGAGTTGAATTTCAATTCCCGTTGGTGGAAGCAACACATTTCCTTTTTGACATGAAAACCTCGCATGAGTGGCAGCTGAAAGACATACCTAATCAAATCTTGTCTATCGTGGTGCTTCCTGTTATGTTATGGTTATCCACAGAAAACTTATATAAATCATGACAAGGATTACGAGCGTGGAAGTGCAGTTCCTATACTCGAGTAGCGGGATCTTCCTAAACTTTATTGAATCGTTTACATCCTTTAATCCATCTTTACCATCTTATTTTCTGTATAAATGACCGGTTCTCCAACATAAATGGCCTCTAAATGTGGTGTCAATAAAGATGATGGCCGATATGCCAATAAAATACGAATTACATTGATCCGAATCCTGACCTCCTTTTGCCTCAGTTACTCCTACTTATATACCATTTTCTATGGATAAGCTGTTGACGCCTGCATGTTGTGCTCGGTTACTGCACTAACACCAGCGTGGTCGAGCGCTCTGCATGACTGCAAATGTGCAGCAATTGCATGATATAGCATGTTACTTGCTTCCAATGCAGTGATGATTATGGGCTTCAGGGAAAGAAGGTCGATTTAATATATAATTTTTTCTTTACTGCTGATATATTTTAATTATATACTATACCATTACAGACTTCCTGTTTCCAGTAAATTATATAATTAAATGCATTTATCAATTTACTAAAAACATTAACAAATTTTCATTAAAAATAATAAATAAATCATTAAATTGTAATGAAACAATAACAATTCAGTTGTTCTAACTGATTTTAAGTTAAACTTCAGTGATCACTGTTTAATATTTCTGAAAATTATTTCATATATGTCTTTGATTGTGTATTAATTCCGTCATTTACTTTCTCCCATTTTCTTTAATACCTCTCGAACCTTGGACCACTTGCACAACACCTTGTCCCCCCCTCTCTTCCTCCGCCTCATTCACTCTTTCTCGTGTTGACATATTATCTATCCATTCTCTTGTCATCATGTTATCTCTGTTCATTCTCCTGTTATCTTGGTGCATTCTCTTGTTATCATGTCACCTCTCTGTCCATTCTCCTCGCCTTTTAACGTCTTTTTCTCTTCCCTTTCATCCTCCCTCCATCTCTTTGCATTTATCCATCCCCAATCCTACAATCCCTGGCCCCGCCTCATATCCTGGCCCCTGTTCCACATCCTGGACCCCCCGCCTCATATCCTGGCCCCCGCCTCACATCCTGGCCCCTGTTCCACATCCTGGCCCCCGCCTCACATCCTGGCCCTGCCCCACAGTGACCCAACAGTGCACGGAGGACGGGATGGAGTTCAACTTGCGAACAGAAGAACCGTTCCGAGGTCGGATCTACACCTACGGGTACTACGACCGGTGCTTCACCCGGGGCTCCGGCTCCACCGTCACCGTCCTCAAGATCTCCGGCGCCAGAGGCGTCCCCGAGTGCGGTACTATCAAGGTGAGGAGCTGCTTCCATTTTGGTTTGAGGGACATAATGACTCCCTTTATTCACTGCAGTACGTGAAGGGTCTTAGAGGTCTTAATGGTACTGAGAGTCGCATAATATTTGCCGTATGCAGACGAGGAGTCACAATAACGTGGCTGAAGTATGCTGATCAAACCACACACTAGTAAGTGAAGGGACGACGATGTTTCGGTCCGTCCTGGACCATTCTCAAGCCGACTTGAGAATGGTCCAGGACGGATCAAAACGTCGTCGTCCCTTGACTTTCTAGTGTGTGGTCTGGTCAACATGTTTGCTGTATATATTAGTTCGATTTAGTGTGTTCATTGAACAGTGCGAATGGAGGTTTCGTGCTGCTATAATATGTACTTCAAGGCCAAGTGGACTCATGGTCCTCAGTAGGCGAGGAGTTTGTGGTGCTTACCGTTGCTTGAAGGTCGCCAGATCGAGTGTTCATGAGGTTCTCTCATGTCCTCTGCACAGAAGATCATCAGGGTAATGAAATGTTGAATAAAAAACAAATAACTCACTACAAACTCCAAAGCCCCTGAGCACACCTTAAGGCCCTGAGCACCTGAGCATACCCTTAATCTTCTAGACACGCCCTAATCCCTTGAGCATACCCTCAGTACCTAAGCTGGTTCAGTACGCCATGAACACCACCACACTAATACCACACCTCCCGCCGCAGTACGCCGACACCACCACCAACATCGTGGTGGTTCAGTTCGCCGACAACGTGCAGACATCCCTGGACAAGCGGTACAACCTCACCTGCACAGTTGTCGGCCCAGGAGAGGCAGTCGTCACCTCCGGCTACATCGGCGCCGGGTAGGTCATCCACCTGTCACTCTAAGTCACCTCAAGTAATGCTGATTTACTTGGGATTTTCTGTATCGAGATGTGTCCCATTAGTATGTGGTAAAGATAGTGTAGTCTGGGGTCATCTTCCATCTCACAAGAGCATCCGGAGTCATGTTGCATCATAGAGGGAAGTGTGAACATCCGCCATGAACTTCAAACTCATGAAGGATTTGTAGAGAATGAATTATAAAGGTCATTGGAATCCATAAATAAAGTAGGTTGAGTACTCCTGCTAAGCCATTTAGCTTCTACTAAGGTCACTGAGAGTTAATTCTCTCAGTTTAACGCAAGTTTACAGAGGAAAGTAACATTTAAAATGAGGCTACAATAGTCAAAATAGTATTTTCATTTTAGGCCAGAAGAGGTTAATTAATATTGACAATAATAGTTAAACAGTTCATCCAGTAGACAAAGTTCTCTCAGCTTAAGCACCTCACTATTACCTTTCCATCTCTCACTTCTGCTTACAATATCTTCCTCACACTCGCTAAGAGGGTAAAAATAGTCTAAGCTACTCTATCCCTCTGAGATGTATTTTATTGTCTCAATAAACGTACTTGATCTCACACGCTTTGCCAATGTTCAGGTCAGGAGCGCCGACGCCCATCGAGTACCTGCCGGCGGAGAACCAGCTACAGTCGAAGGTGAGGCTGCAGATCATGTACAGCGGCCGCCCCACCACCACCGTCGCCGTCGGGGACCCTCTCACCTTCAAGCTGGAGTCCCAGCGCGGCTTCAACCTCGTCTCCGACATCTTCGCTACCAACGTCGTCGCTAAAGACCCTTACTCCGGCAGGAGCGTCGAACTCATCGATAGCAGAGGGTGAGTAATCTGACTTGCTTGGCTTACTCATAAACTCACTCCCTCCAACACTCATTCTCGCACACAATTGTATTTATACATAATGTCTCTCTCTCATACAACCTCATTCTTTCGCACACAACCTCACACTTCTGAACTGGTGGTCCTCCGCAGGTGTCCCGTCGACAACTACGTGTTCCCGGCCCTGGGCAAGGGCCGGGACGGAGACGGTCTGGAGGCTCGCTTCAACGCCTTCAAGATTCCTGAGGCTAACTTCCTCATCTTCGAGGCCACGGTCAGGACCTGCCGGCGAGGGTGTGAGCCGGTGAGTGGTGCCCTTGCGGCTGTGTGACCGTCGGCTCGTCTAGTTGTGCTGGCAGGAGTTGATCTCCAGTTCTTGAACCCCGATTTTAGCCAGCGATCATCACATCACTGCTTTCCAATCCTCATGTGCTTAGTTTTATCTACTTATGAGTATACGTATGGTGTAATCTTCCACTGTTTCTCCTCTGTGTATGGAGTCAATCTTCGCTACTACTCTTTTTTCAAGTATGAATTCAATTTCTACTGCCTCTCTTCTACGTAAAGAATCAATCTCCGCTGCATCTTTTTCCATGTATGTAGTCAACCTCTTCTCTCAGTCCTTTTAATGTGTATGTGTGTGTGTATGTGGTAATAATTAATCCAATTAAGACTTTCTTTTAAATTTGCGTTAACAAAACAGTAATGCATCTTCTCAACATTGCCTTAGTCTGCCAGTCATATCACTCTGTTGGACTAGTTGGCATTTTGAGTATTAATACATATTGATGGTGCATTCAGCCTCTCATTCTCAGGCCTATAACATTGGTGATGCATTTAGTTCACTTTTTTAGTTTAGTTTATTAAGCTGTCCCTCTGACACCTTATTTTCCGGTGACCCAGGCTCGGTGCACGCTGGGTAAGGGACGAGACGACGCAGTGTCTTACGGGCGAAGACGTCGAGGTGCAGGAGATGAGCCAGAGAACCAGACAAATCCCCAAGACGACGATGACAGCGAAGAGGAGGGCCAGGTCCATGGCATCTACGAGGTAGGACAACCTTCCTTTCCTCATCTTCTGGCATTACTCTGTGTTCTACTCCCTTATATTCCTTGCGGTCTACGTGCCCCCGAATGTTTTATTCATTGTCACGTGAAGTCAAATTCCTCTCATTTCTTAGATTCTTCATAATCTTCATTGGCTTATTACTTCTTCCACGATGAAACTTCCTTTTCTGTTGCTTCAGATGACCGTCCCTGACAAGGTTAAGGTGTCAGGTCTTGAAGCTAGAGACTGTACAGTCCCGCAGAGGCGCTTGTAGATAGATGTGTCTGATGGCTTGGTGGTCCATTGCAGGTGTACCTCTCCAGAGACGAGATCAGCGAGCAGGCTGTGTCGCAGTCGGTGGTGGAGGCGGTGTGTCTCCCGCCCACCGAGTACTACAGCCTCGTCGCCGGCCTCGCCATTACTGCCGTCTGCCTGCTTGCTGCTCTCCTCTGTGTCGCCTACTGCTTCAGGTACGTCTTCAGCTGCAGGTATATATATATATATATATATATATATATATATATATATATATATATATATATATATATATATATATATATATATATATATACATATATATCTTGCTCTCTCCTCCAGGCATGTCCCCCTGAAGGTACTGCAGGTACGTACCTTGCCCTCTGCTTCAGGCACGTCTTATACACTGCCAACAAAGCCTTTGTTATGTCCTGCAGGTTCCTTCGCTTGTCTTAAGCCCCTCTACTATCTGTCTTACGAAAGGCATCTTCATATACAATTATTGCTAGAAGTGATTATGTGGATTTCTGTTTCTCAAAACAAAAGGATTTGCCGCTTCACTAGTGGGCAAGGATATATACTCTTAATACATTCCACTATATATGTATGCTGGCTCCGTATGAATTAATCGAGAATAGAATATATGACATGTATAGTCTCAAAAAAATAAGAATTGCATTGTCTGTTAATATTTACGAAAGTTTATTAATAAGTAAACTTGTGGTCGTCTCCTCCTGTCCCTTGCAGGAAGCACCGCCGGCTGGACGAGAAGAACGCAGCTGCTGACGCCGGGAACCCGTACCATCAGCAGCAGCAACAGCAACAGCAGCAGCACCTGCAGCAGAAGAGCAAGTTCGCCTTCCCAGGAACCCACCCAAGGACACTAACTCAGCCCGCCAGGCAGGTGTAAGCTAGCGCAGGTCCGGTGAAGCTCTTCAGCACCTCCTCCTCCTCCTCCAGAAGTCGCTAGTCGAGGCACTTCACAAGGAGGAGCCGCTACTGCCGTTACCTTGCTTGTAGTAGACGTGTGTGTGTGTGTGGGTTGTGCCTATTTAAGTCCACAATCCCTTCAGCTTGCTAGCTTTCGTAGCTGCTTGTGAGGGGAGCAGCTTGACAAAGCTTCATGACAATAATACCCAATATGTCCAATATCCCAACTAGGAGCGGAGTCAGGAACCTCCACAATCGCTTGATTTTTGTCAGCTGTTGTGATCACTGGTGGAAAACATACACACCCATCGCCAGTCTACATGTCACCTATTGCTTGTAGGCGCTTGTTTTTAATTATATATGAGTTTAAGCAATCCACTATGAGCTTAAGCAATCGCACTCAAAGCACAAGAAACATCGAAGGTCGTCAACTAACGAGCAGTTCTTGTCCAACTTCTCACACTGGACCATCAAGGCAATTCAGTTGACCGTTACACAGCTACGGTATCACACATTACTTGCACCAGTCCCGCCAGGACTCTGCTGGGTTATTGCTGGAATCCCTTCAGCTGACATAGGAGGCTCCTGGCGTCAGCAGTTTGACTAATTTCACCTGACTGGTTTTAGCCTCCTGGTTACTGACAGTTCCGGTCCCTCTCAGCTAACAGCTCCCAATTTTCGTATAATGACAGCAGCCAGTTCTCTCCTCTGACAGTTCCCTCTCGCTCGATTGACTGCCAGCCTGATTTCCTCCACAGTCTGTCCTCCTCCAACAATAGACAGCCTGACTTCCTCCATACCCAGGTTAACTTCCTTCATACCCAGGTTAACTTCCTTCATACCCAGGTTAACTTCCTCCATACCCAGGTTAACTTCCTCCATACCCAGGTTAACTTCCTCCATACCCAGGTTAACTTCCTCCATACCCAGGTTAACTTCCTCCATAGACAGCCTAATTTTCTCCATAGACCTAGAGACCTCTACCTAAAGACAGCCTGACTCACAACGGACACAGGTACTGTGAGAGAGAATGGTAACACAACAAGTACTAAACATGTACTTTAAATGATCATAACATTAATATAAATTGCAGTTATCATTAGTATTATTATTTTATATTTAATTTGTATCGTCTACGTCTTCACTAGCACGAACCATTTAGATAAAATACATGTATGTTATTGAGTCCCCTAGAGGTAGAGTAGCTCTGTTATGCTGGTACCTCTATTATGCTAGGAGCTCTCTTATGGTAAGACATCTTTTATCCTACGAGCTCTCTTATGCTAAGACTTATGCTAGGAGCTCTGTTATGCTGGTACCTCTATTATGCTAGGAACTGTGTTATGGTAAGACCTCTATTATGCTAGGAGCTCTATTATGCTAAGACTTATGCTAGGAGCTCTGTTATGCTGGTACCTCTATTATGCTAGGAACTGTGTTATGGTAAGACATCTATTATGCTTGGAGCTCTATTATGCTAAGACTTATGCTAGGAGCTCTGTTATGCTGGTACCTCTATTATGCTAGGAGCTCTCTTATGGTAAGACATCTTTTATCCTACGAGCTCTCTTATGCTAAGACTTATGCTAGGAGCTCAGTTATGGTAAGATCTCTACTATGCTAGGAGCTCTGTTATGCTAAGACCTCTATTATGCTAGGAGCTCTGTTATGCTGGTACCTCTATTATGCTAGGAGCTCTGTTATGCTGGTACCTCTATTATGCTAGGAGCTCTATTATGGTAAGACCTCTTTTATGCTAGGAGCTCTCTTATGCTAAGACCTCTGTTATATTAGGCGTTGTGTTACGAAACGTTGAGCAGGGTGGACAGTCCATCTCCTGACACATCCGGACCACACTAGGATGGTAACCTCGTCCCGCTCTAAATGTTTATGTCCACGGAAGTGTGGATGACAATGTATATGACGTAGGCGTGGGTCACTAATTCCTCTTGAGCTTCAGCAGTAGTCAGGGAAAGTCGAAAAAATTCAGTTTGACAGCAGGATGCTGCTTCTAGAACCTTTCCTTATTAAGGCTACTATATAGGTCGGTCGATAGAGCTTCGGCCTCACACACGTGGGGTCCGGGGTTCGAGTCTCCTAAAGCCAAGGTGAATGGGATACCTGCTTGATGGGGTTCTGGGAGTTCTTCTACTCCCCCCAAGCCCCGCCCTAGGCCAGGCTTGACTGTCATTCTCTGTTTTCTTTCTTACGTAATCTCTTCACTGACCATGCTAAGCATCCTGTCATCTCCAGCTCTCCTTCTTCCTCCTCTCTGCATCTCCTCTTTCTTCTCTTCGTCTCCTCTTCCTGACGGGCTCCTAACGGTGTCTCTCTCTCTCCCGCCTTAGTTACTTCCCGAGCGGGGAGCCCACTAGCAGCGCCCCGCAAGCTGAGGACGGAGCCGCTACATCCTCACGCTTCCCAGATCCTTCCGAACCTATCTACACCGACCCGGCACTCTTCGAGAGGTAAGGTACGCCCTTGTTTATAGAGGGAGGGGGGGAGTTCAAGTTCTTGTTACATCCTTTGTTACTTTGTAAGCCCTTGTTCAAGTCTCTTGTGGGGAAAGAGGGGCACTTAAATATTTCTCACTCGCGCCATTCCCAACTCTCACTATTCCTGTGGGGAAAATTCCAGGCAGCTAATCTCTCTTTTTCAAATTGATTTAATAAAATAAAATTATGTCTTATTTATTTTCTTAGTAAGTAAGTATTAATTAAGTATTAATTAAGTGGACTGTATGTACTGGTAAACTGCCTGAAATCTTCTTACACACTATTGGGAGGGACAATTGGTAGCCTAAACCACTATGTTATGGGTCCTTCTTAAACTACCAATTGTTTACCTTTAAAACTATTATTTCAGTTATTTCATTATAAGTAATTAATTATATCTACTGCTACTGCTATACTAAAATGTCTTAGCTGAGCCAGTAGAATGTGCCTAGTAAGGCGTGTAGGTGTAGCCTCAAGATGGGTGTGGCCCTGCCTCTTTGTGCCACGTAATGGCGGCTGGTGGGAAGGACAAGGCTTGGCAAACAAGTAGTTAATTATGTGTATGAACCAACTGTCTGCACAGATTCTTGAAGCTCCTCTCACAATTTACCTGTATGGGATGCAAGGAATTAATCAAAGTTCCCTAAACATATCAATTACAGGTATGACATGAACTGTGAGGGCTGTAATGGGGTACACGTACGGTGTTTTTGGGGATGTCCTACGACATAACCATCTACATATTTATATTAAACAGTGCACTTGAATAATAAACAATACTTGGTAGACGGATACAGTCGTTGTTGTGATGTTGTTAGGCTGTGTGGCTGGTGTTGACACGTAAATGGGGTGTCTAGCTGTTTACACCAGTTAAGACAGCGTGGTAGGCTCATCCCATGTTTTGTTGTTGTGTATAGTGGACGCCTTCCTCTCCGGGTGACGCTCTTATGCTCTGGTTCTTCACTCAAAGTAATTTTACATTAACAAGGGAACCTAGCTACTATTTGATGTAAATAATTATATTCATTCTTAGTGATTACTTTTTTGTTAACTTTAGATACTAAACTAATCTATTAACAATGTTTCATAATGTAAATATACGATGACTTTGATGACGTCACGGAGTCGATGACGTCACGGAGTCTCCCATTTTCCATCCTGAAGGGAGTATAGACTAGGGGAGACTGTGTTATTTGTGTGTGTGGTTGTGTGTGTGTGTCGGTTTCCCGACAATTCCTACTCCTTTGTCCCCACAGTCCCGACCCGCTCTCACCTTCGGGGCTCAGTTCTGTTATGATCCTGTTACCACTTACAACATTGGTATGGGGTTTATAATATATCATCTGGGCTAAACGTCTCCTATCTCTCCCCCCTCATCATCCTTTCATGTCTCACTCATCACTCACCCTCCCCTTCATCTTCCTGTCATCACCCCATCATTACCCATCACTGCGTCACTCAGCAACAATGTCACTTCCCACAGGTCGCTGACAGATCAACCTGCGCGACGCCGCTATGCTGACGGAGAGGACTAGCAGGCAGAACAGCAGCAGTCGCAGCCGCAGCCACAGCAGCAGCAGCAGCCGCAGCAGCAGCCGCAGTCACAGCAGCAGTCGCAGCCACAGCAGCCGCCGCAGCCACAGCAGCCGCAGCCACAGCAGCCGCAGCCACAGCAGCAGTCACAGCAGCAGATAAATAGGAAGAACGCAAAGATGAACCGTTTTGAACAGTAAGAACAGGACGAAAAAAAGCAGATAAAAGCTAGAAATGATAAATACGAATACAGAGTGAAGCAAAGATAGAAAACCAAGGAAACGACGCATGAGAAGCGGAGAAACGAAGCATGAATAAAGAAGGAACGCAGCAGTAAACAAAGAGAACGGTAAACACAAGAACAGGAGCGAATACGACCACAATCACAGAAAACGACTAATTATGAGAACCAGAGCGGAGACTGAACAGAAGAGTATGAAGAGACACATAACAAAGAGAGGAGGAGAAGAAGAAGAAGGAGGTGAGATAAACAGTGATAAACAGAAGCCAAAGATAAATCACAGGAGTTAAGACAGACAACATCAACCTGGAGACGATGGCTGGAGTATAATATGAAATAAAAGCCATACAGTAGAAAGCTGGTCTTCAGGCAACAATTAACTAAGACATGAGACAATTAAGCCGATGTGAGCGAGTGGAGCTCACTTGGATCTTCCTGTTAGCTAGCTGAGCTCACCTGGATCGTCTCGTGAGTTAGCTGAGCTCATTTGGATCGTCCCGTGAGCTAGCTGAGCTCACTTGGATCGTCCCGTGAGTTAGCTGAGCTCACTTGGATCTTCCCGTGAGCTAGCTGAGCTCACTTGGATCGTCCCGTGAGCTAGTTGAGCTCACTTGGATCTTTCCGTTAGCTAGCTGAGCTCACTTGGATCTTCCCGTGAGCTAGCTGAGCTCACTTGGATCTTCCCGTGAGCTAGCTGAGCTCACTTGGATCTCCCGTGAGCTAGCTGAGCTCACTTGGATCTCCCGTGAGCTAGCTGAGCTCACTTGGATCTCCCGTGAGCTAGCTGAGCTCACTTGGATCTCCCGTGAGCTAGCTGAGCTCACTTGGATCTTCCCGCGAGCGAGCCGAAGTTCAATTTCTCATGGGACTGGAAATTGAGCCTAAAAGAAGCTTGCAAATAGGCCTAAAACCATCTTTCTCGACCCTTCATCCACAGTTCCAAATGCCACAAACATCATTCAGTAGGTTTTAAGGTCCTTAAGATTTAAGATTTTTTGTTTTTTTTTTAGGCCAAATAAAGAGTCCTTGCTCCTTTAGGCTGCGTCCGAATGGCTACAATGAACCTTCCCCCCCAAAACGCTGACCACCGAGACATCTCCAGCGATTCGGACACCCCCTGACGTCATCAAGGCTCTGGCCACCGGTGCTATCACGCAAATGTATACTTTATTGCTCCTGTAAATAGAGGTCACTTTCTCGCAGTTTTAAGCCAGAAGTGCCTCTTAGGATCCTTCTTATATATATATATATATATATATGCAAACAAGCCTGAATGGTCCCCAGGACTATATACAACTGAAAACTCACACCCCAGAAGTGACTCGAACCCATACTCCCACAACTGGTATGTACAGGGACGCCTTAATCCGCTTGACCATCACGACCGGACATAAGGAAGTGATAGCCGAGGCTATATGAACCACTTCCCCGCCGGCACTCGGATGGTAATCTTGGGCATAGCATTTTATCAAATCACCTCATTCTTTGGGGCACACGTGAGGAACACAAATGCAAACAAGCCTGAATGGTCCCCAGGACTATATACAACTGAAAACTCACACCCCAGAAGTGACTCGAACCCATACTCCCACAACTGGTATGTACAGGGACGCCTTAATCCGCTTGACCATCACGACCGGACATAAGGAATATATATATATATATATATATATATATATATATATATATATATATATATATATATATATATATATATATATATATATATATATATATATATATATATATATATATATATATATATATATCATTTTAAGTCTGTCTAAGTTTTACAAGTTTGTACAAAATGAAACTGAGTGATGTAAAGTTTGCTGTGATAGCGCCGGAAACTTAGGTTTAAGGGCGAGCGTTCTGACGCTTTTAATAAATGTTCGCGCTTTTTATTAGTATTTTACTACCCATTATGTATATATTGTATATGTATATATTGTATATGTATATGTATATATTATATTACCCAAGTGAACAGATAAAATGACTAGAGAGAGCCGTATATGGGCCTGACTGGAGGACTGTAGGCGCCTGACAGCTGGGTGGGACAGTACTTCGGATTTATAGTCCTGAGGTTCCGGGTTCGATCCCCGGTAGAGGCGGAGACAAATGGGCAAAATGTTTGTTTCATCCTGATGCCCCCTGTTACCTAGCAGTAAATAGGTACCTGGGAGTTAGACAGCTGCTACGGGCTGCTTTCTGGGTGGTGTATAACAAAAAGGAGGCCTGGTCGAGGACCGGGCCGCGGGGATGTTAAGCCCCGCTTAAGTAAGGGGTCAACACCACCACTACATGAATAGTGTGTGTGTGTGTGTGTTTACTATTTGTATCAGCAGAATCGAGCTATTAGCTCTTGGACCCCGCCTTTCTAACCAATTTAATTTTCCTCTTATGTCTACTACATTTATTTCCCTCTAACACACACACACATATCCCCAGGAAGCAGCCCGTAGCGGCTGTCTAACTCCCAGGTATCTATTTACTGCTAGGCGAACAGGAGCATCAGGGTGAAAGAAACTCTGCTCATTTGTTTCTGCCTCTGCCGGGAATCAAACCCGGGCCTTTCGGACTACGACCCCAGAGCGCTGTCCTACTCAGCCGCGAGGCCCCCATATGGTGTGTGCGTGTGTGTGTGTGTGTTTGTTTATGATTGTGTGTACACTTACAAGCGCCAATGGCCACATAAGTCTACATATTGGTGAGAGTTAGCGCCGTGTCTATCTGCTGACGTTCCTAATCTATCGACCAAAAAAACAAACAAAGCAGAACTCTAAAATCCTGAAAGGTCAAATGAGGTCCTCGGGCAGATCACGTTTTCTCTTCAACAGACAGTAGCGTTTTCTTTTTTAAGTAGGGCGGTTGTTCACCCTTTCTATCGACTCTTCTTCTGATCATCTCCCACGAACCCCTTCTCCTGCCTGCCCTCCCATTCACCCCTCTGGCCCACCCTCTTCGCTGTCAACACCACAATGACACAATTCCACGCGTTACAGTCGACGCTGTATCTCTCACACTACGATGGACTGTAGTGTGATGTTTGTTTTCATGTAACATCAGCTGGGAGTGATACACTCCCCTCTTCCAGAAATCTGTGTAAACGACGTGGACTTAATAACGAATCAGCGTTGGCTGAACGTTACCGGAGCATCTTCACAGAGGAGCAACGCAGAAGGCTGAAGCTGCTTGACCCCCAGCGAGGCACGACGGGCTGGGGGCCGAGCTGGT